AAATGGAACTACCCTTAAAATTGATGGCAAGGAGATAAGAGTTTTGAAAGATATTCCCTTTGAAATAAGGGGAAAAAAGGAAAAAATACAAAGACTTGGATTTGTTTCTACAAAAGAACAACATACCCTACAAATGGATCGTACCCGAAGACATACTCTTCAAATTTAAAGACAAGAGGGGGGAAATTGACTCCGTTATGAAAGCAAGAGAGTTTCTGCAGCAACAACTGGATCCAACAGGAGAAGAGGATGAGAAGAGCAACAAGGGGAGTGATGATGAAGCACTTACTGGAGAAGATTTTGATTCGGAAAGGGGGGCAGCTGCTCCCAAGCAAGGATATCGATTGAGGGAAAGAAGAGGCAAATGAGATGCTAATTTTCTCTGAATTTTGACTTTTGACTCTTATTATTAAACCGTTCTTGTGCATGGTTCTTTACTAAGTCAGAATACCTGGACTTGAAGCATTTAAGCGATGTTAATGATCACCTACGATGTAACAAATTATCCTTTATTTTATTTAAAGCTATTTTAATGTAAGCATTATATGACCCCCACCTCTTGGGTTTTTAGTGGTTTATCTTTACTTTCTACCGTATTTTATAGTTTCCCCTTCCCTATTTTTCTTGTAGATTTTAGAAATTTTTTTTAAAAAAGAAAGAAAGAAAACAGCATGCATGGCACAAATTTCCTTGCTAGATCATGAAGGCATGTGGAGATGGCTATTCAAATACAGGTCACCCACCATGACTACCATTTGTTTTATGTGGCAGGGACATAAATACATACTTCCACCTATAGTGCACTGGGAAACCACGTGCTCAACCACTGTGCACACAATGCTGCACATAACAATATTTGGATGGAGGCATGAATTGGCAGTTGGTGATGAACTGCAGAAAGCTTGTATAACAGTTGCTGTTTGCAGCAGTACACATTTTGAAGAACATGAAATTTGTGAACACTTCTGTCTGACAACTGTTTCATGTCTTCGCGCCAGATCAGGCTTTAGCTAAAATTCACATTCCCCCCCCCCCACATCTCCCAGTAATATCTTGTTCAGAAGACTCAAGGAGGACTACACAGTGTAAGTCAATACAGCAACAGGATGACATATCCAATGAGCAATGTAATAGGATTAGGACTGCAGAAATCTGAAGCCAAGCTGAAACAAAGCACAAGTATTAACATGACGTGTTATACAATGAAGAAATTACATGGTAGGATAATATACACAGCAACAGGTATTACATATTATAGACAGCAGTGTAGTCCACAGGCCCTTCTCCTTTATTAAAACATCTTTTGGAACCTGTGCAAAAATGCACCACCACCCCCGTGAACAATTCCATTTAGAAAATATGTGGTAGGCCCTTCCAAAAAGTAGCTCTTTATGAGCTTGTGAGCCAAAGCTTGTGATCCACATCAGGGTCCCAACGTTGGACGCTACTGAGCTACTGGAAGCAGACATGTACCTTCATGTCATCATGCCCCCAGAGCTGGCTCAACACATTTTACTGCCCCAAGCATCCCGGTTCTCCACCTATTTGGATGCAAAACTAACAATTAAACTTAAAACTGTTTGCCAAGTTTAGCTAATCTCAGTGGCTAGTGGGACTCCAAAAACTAGGAGGACATTGAACAGGGCTCTTAACGTCATGGAATTAGGGCCTGGATTGAGCCTCAGTCCCCTGCTAAACCTGTTACTTTAATTTCTATAGTAAATAGCCTCTATAGTTGAATCTTTGGTTCTGTTTCCTAGGAGGCTTCAGGACTGTGCTGGTGCTGTGGCCTTCTGGTACTGATAACCTGTACATTACTTTTGCCTTAGAGGGTGTTTATACATTCCAGGGGTTAGTGGTGCCACTATCAAAGTTTAAATAGATAGGGTATCAGAACTTAGCTTTCTTGACTTTCTGAGAGCTTCCTGACTCCAGAGATAGAAAGAAGGAGAGGGATTTGGGTTGGTACATTGGATCAGTTCTAGTTTGGCCTGCTTCACATCCATGGAAGTCCTACATGATAGGTACGTAAGTAGGTACATTAGCAGCTATAGGTCCAAGAAAGATATATACCTCTGGTTTACTAATGGTCAGGGCTGCTCACCAATGCCTGCTCACCAATCAAGGGGCCTTGATGCCATTGTTGTTGTTGTTCAGTCGCACAGTCGAGTCCGACTCTTCGCGACCCCATGGACCAGTTCCCACCAGGCCCTCCTGTCTTCCGCCGTCCTCTGAAGTTGGCTCAATTTTATGTTCGTTGCATCTATGACACTGTCTCACCATCTCATCCTTTGCCGTCCCCGTCTTCTTTGACCTTCAATCTTTCCCAGCATCAGGGATGCCATAGTGGGAATATATTCCTTATATGTCTGGGTGTACACTGTACTTTGAATTATAAGTATAGAATTAAGAATTATGAGTCAATTGTGTATGCTGCATACCAAATTCTTATATGTTTGGAAGGTTTTACATTTTGGGTTTGAAGTTCAATAAATAAGAGGTGGGTTGTTGTTTTTTAAATAACTGTCTCTCTTTCTTGATGCAATTGGGATCCCTGCCAGTTTCTCTCCCTCCCCAATGATCAGAGTGGGGATGGGAGTCTATGAAAAGGTTCCTGCACTCCTACCGTAGTTTCCCCAAAATTTAACTTGATGGTAAGCCTCACTGGATACAATGTTTCAGAAAAATGTATCGTTTGGCTCTTTCTCTGTGTGTCATATGGCTCTTAGATATGTTCAGTCAGAAGCTTGTACATTTGGATGTCCCTGAACTAGATAAACCACCGTCTGCTATGGGGGTTAAAACCTCTCCTGGTTATTTAGTGCTAATCTTCATAATAATTTAGCTACACATTTTTAGAAGCTGCCTTTTCCCTTTTTTTTAGTCAAGTCTCACCAGCCCTCTGGTCATTGCTCTTTCTCATCTCTAAGCTCACAGCAATTTGTCAAAATCTCCCCAGCTGAAAGGTGAGAAGCTTAGAGTGGATTGATGCACAGTACTGCCAAACACAATCACCGCAGACATATCTAAGGTCACCCCCACAGAATGTGTCAGAAAAGGGATTGAATAAGGCCTCCAGAGAAGGAAGCAAAGGAAGAACCAGTGCATCACACAGTTGGTAGGTGTTCTGGAAGATGTTTCCTCTCTGCAAGGCAAAGACAAATGTATGAAGCCACTTTATAATGAATCAGAAAATTGGCCCATCTCACTCAGTATTGTCTGCTCTGACTGACAGCAGCTTTCCAGGGTCTCAAGCAGAAAAAAAAAAGTGTTTCTTAACACTTTGCTCTTTGAGTTCCTTAAATGGAAACATGGCCGTTTCCCAAAAGGGCAAGCAGAGGCTCTCTGGGGCTCTTTCAGGTTAGGAAAATGGCACGGGGCAAAGGCTTACGTTCCTTCTCCCATCATAGTGTGGTCCCGATCCAGACTGACCCTCTCATGCACCTAAGAATTGTCAACAGGGAACTCCAAGTACTCAAGTGTCTGACAGATCCTCAGGCAGACCCAGCAAAAAGGAATATTACCTCTGTGTTGCTCAGGAAATATGCCACATTCTCCTTCAGGTCAGCTATACCCGATGCCAGCCACTGAAACTTCTCTTCCAGGTCATCAAACTCCTTGTCCTCTGTCTAAACCCCAAACAAAGAAAATTACCTCATAGCTTTTGTAAGAAAAGGCTTCAAGAAAATGACATATTGCTAGTGATATATACATGCTCTAGCTCCAGGCTTACATACTGTACACAGTTCATGCAATGTAAATTCCAGTTCTGGACTTCTGAAATTACACATTGCCTAACTGGTACAATTCCCCTATTTTAAACCTGCTGTATCAGGATAGGGGTAGAATATTAATGGGAATTTACTGAGAAAAAGCTCAGGAGAAAAAGCTCAACCGACAGTCTTTAATTCAAGAGTCAATGTATCAGACTTGGGAGACTCAGATTCAAATCCCCACTCAGCCATGAAACTCACCAGATGACCTTTGTTTCCTGGGGATTATCAGGGTTATAGCCCCATAGACCAAAGCAATTGCCCTGGTAGTGCTTATTTTTCTGCTGTCTGGTGGTTACTACTTCAATTCAGACCACCACAATTACTTCTCATTATGGTCAACAACTAAATCTAAGCCTCAAGACCAGTAGTCCATGTTGTCCAGTCAACTGTCTCGCACTGTGGCCAACCAGTTCCTCTGGATGGCTAACAACAGGGCATAGAGGACGAAGCCTTCCCCTGATGTTGCCTCCTGGCACTGGGATTCAGAGGTTTACTGCCTTGGATATAAATTTCTATAAAACAGGAATGGCGTTGAGCTTCTTACCTCACCAAGGGTGTGATGAGGACACTGGAAAATGACTTAATGCTAACAGCACTGTATAATTTGCTGGTGCTGGCATTACAGATGAAAGAAACATTCCCAGCCAGGTCATAAGTGGGTGCTGAGTCCACAGTGTGCATGTCATGATTCCCAAAGTGACCACAGAGAGGCTAGCATGGGATGGCATATATCACTATTCTTAAAGCATCATTAGGCCACCCATGAGTTCAGTCTGACGGACAGAAACTAAGAGCACGTAAGGAAAGAACTCTTCCACAAGAACAGTCACTGTTAGTGAATGTCTTATCTTGACCCATTCTTACCAATCGAGGACACTTCCAGATATTCTATAAAGTAAGATGAATGCACGAAGTTTCCAAGTCAAACAACTGGTCTTTAAAGCTCAATATTATCTATTCTGATAGGTAGGAGCTCTCCAAGCTCTCATGCACAAAAAGGTATTTTTCAGCATCAAGCTTTTGATATCCTCTAAGTGGAGATGGCACAGATTGAGTTTAGGACCTTCTGCATGAGAAGTATGTGCTTTTCCACTGAGCCACAGTTGTTGCCATAAAAGTGGGAAACAAGCTGTTTAGGAAACTTACTTTAGGTATAATTCCAGCCTCATGCATAAAGAGGCGACTCAATCGTGTGGTCTTCTTGGTGATGGAATGTGTGTTGAGCCGGGCCAGGCGCTCCCGCAAAGTCAGATACCCGGCTTTGTTGTATTTGTCTGCTATTCTCAGTTACATTGAAGGCAAGAAACACAAGAAAGGAACACATTAAACAAGTCAGGGAAGAAACCTATAACTTTCTGAGTTTGGTGATACAGAACACTGTCTCAAAATAAGGGAAGAACTTATTTCTCAGGTATGGGTATGATTTTAAAAAGCCCTCTTTTTTGATCAATTTTGATATACCAACTATCTACAAAGAAAAACTAGCTCCAACATTTCCATGATAACAGGCTGGATTAGTGACTTCCCAGTGATTTCTCATACCCTAACATGACACAGCTGAACATCATGAAGATAAAAGTAATGACTACTATTGAATTACAGAACTTTAAGGCTGACAATGAAGGAATTGAAATTGTTCAAAATTTTCTCTTCCTTGGCTCCGTCATCAACCGAAAGTTGCAACCAAGAAACCAGAAGTAAAGGGCAGCCATGAAGGAGCTAATAAAGAATCTTATAGGTAAAGATGTATTGCTGGTGACCAAGATAAGGTTAATTCATGCCACAGTATTCACCATTACTCTGTATGGGTGTGCAAGTTGGACAATGAAGAAAGCTGAAAGGAAGAAATGTGGTATTCCTTTGAAATGTGGTGTGAAGCATTGTTCCCTCTAAGCTGAATTAGTGTGAGCTAGCTCACAGTTTTTTAGCCTCCAGCTCATAGATTTTTGTCTTAGCTCAGGAAGGATGACTCCAGAGCACACTAATTTATGCAGTAGCCAAATCACTCACTCAAAACTTTAATGCCAGTAGCTTACAAAGTAGAATTTTTGCTCACAAGACTCCACAGCTTAGAGGGAGCATTGGTGTGAAGAGTTTTATGGTTACCATGGACTGCTAAAAAGACAAATAAGTGGGTTCTAAATCAAGCCTAAACTCTCCCTAGAAGGTAAAATTACTAAACTGGGGATATCATGCTTTGGTCATATTATGAGACGACAAGAGTCACTGGAAAAGACAATAATGCCAGGAAAAGTTGAAGGCAGAAGGGAAAGTTGAAGCCGTCCATGCTTGTAGCTGCCACCACTTCCTGTGGCAGTGAATTCCAAGTGTTAATCACTCTTTGGGTGAAGAAGTACTTCCTTTTATCCGTTCTAACCCGACCGCTCAGCAATTTCATGGAGTGCCCACGGGTTCTTGTATTGTGAGAAAGGGAGAAAAGTACCTCTTTCTCTACCTGCTCTTTCCCATGCATAATCTTATAAACCTCAATCATGTCACCCCTCAGTCGTCGTTTCTCCAAGCTAAAGAGCCCTAAGCGCCTTAACCGTTCCTCATAGGGAAAGTGTTCCAACCCTTTTATCATTCGAGTTGCTCTTTTCTGCACTTTTTCCAAAGCTATAATATCCTTTTTAAGGTGTGGTGACCAGAATTGCACACAGTATTCCAGATGAGGTCGCACCATTGATTTATATAGCGGCATTATGATATTGGCTGATCTGTTTACAATACCCTTCCTAATAATCCCCAGCATAGCATTGGCCTTCTTTATTGCAGTCACACACTGTCTCGACATTTTCAGTGAGTTATCTACTACAACTCCAAGATCTCTCTCTTGATCTGTCTCTGCCAGTTCAGACCCCATCAACGTGTATTTATAGTTAGGATTTTTGGCTCCAATGTGCATCACCTTGCACTTGGCCACATTGAACCCCATTTGCCATGTTGACGCCCACTCGCCCAACTTTGACAGATCCCTTTGGAGTGCCTCACAATCCTCACTGGTTTTCACCACCCTGAACAACTTCGTATCATCCGCAAATTTAGCCACTTCACTGCTTACTCCCAACTCCAAATCATTAATGAACAAGTTAAAAAGCAGTGGACCAAGTACTGATCCCTGTGGTACCCCACTGCTTACACCCCTCCACTGGGAGAACTGCCCATTTATACTCACTCTCTGTTTTCTATTAATTAGCCAGTTTTTGATCCATAAAAGGACTTGTCCTTTTATCCCATGATTTTTGAGCTTGCTTAGGAGCCTTTGATGAGGAACTTTATCAAAAGCTTTCTGGAAGTCAAGGTAAACAATATCTATTGGATCCCCCTTGTCCACATGTTTGTTCACCCCCTCAAAGAACATTAACAGGTTAGTGAGACAAGATCTTCCCTTACAGAACCCATGTTGAGTCTGCCTCAATAGGTTTTGTTCATCTATGTGCCTACTAATTCTTTCCTTAATAATGGTTTCCACCAATTTACCCGGTATCGACGTCAGACTGACAGGCCTGTAATTTCCCGGATCTCCTCTGGAACCCTTTTTAAAGATGGGAGTGACATTAGCTACCTTCCAGTCCTCAGGAATGGAGGCTGATTTTAAGGAGAGATTACATATTTTTGTCAGGAGATCCACAAGTTCACAATTGAGTTCTTTCAGAACTCTTGGATGTATGCCATCTGGGCCTGGTGATTTATCAGTTTTTAAGTTGTTTATCAGTTTTAGGACCTCCTCTCTCGTCACCTCAATCTGACTCAGGTCTTTCAACACCCCTCCCGAACTCAGCGGCTCTGGAGTGGGCAAGCACCTCTCATCTTCCACAGTGAAGACGGAGGCAAAAAATGCATTTAGCTTCTCAGCCATTTCCCTATCATCCTTCAGTACTCCTTTTACCCCTTGGTCATCCAAGGGCCCCACTGCCTCCCTGGCTGGTTTCCTGTTTCTAATGTATTTGAAGAAAGTTTTATTGTTGGTCTTTACATTTTTTGCTATATGCTCCTCATATTCCCTTTTTGCATGCCTGACCACAGACTTGCATTTTATTTGCCATAGCCTGTGTTCTGTTTTATCAGCCTCACTGTGACTAGCTTTCCACCGCTTAAAGGAATCCTTTTTACCTTTTACAGCTTCCATTACTTTGTTTGTTAACCATGTAGGCTTTTTCTTATACCTGTTTGTGCCTTTCCTAACCTGCGGAATATATTTTATTTGAGCTTCTAGAATTGTAGTTTTAAACAGTTTCCAAGCTTCCCCAATGGTTTTGACCCTTTCTACTTTTCCCTTCAGTTTCCTCCCCACATGTCCCCTCATATCAGAAAAATTACCCCTTTTAAAGTTAAAAGTGGTTGTGTGAGTCTTTTTGGCCAATTCCCTATTTGTACAAATGTTGAACTCAACAACATTATGATCACTGTTCCCAAGCGGTGCAATCACTTTTACATCTCTCACCAGGTCTTGAGTGTTACTTAGGACCAAATCAAGGATCGCCTCTCCCCTGGTAGGTTCCGTGACCATCTGCTCCATAGCACAGTCATTTAGAGTGTCTAGAAACTCAATCTCTTTCTCTCGACTAGAACACATATTGACCCAATCAATGTGTGGGTAGTTAAAATCACCTATTACGACACAGTGTTTTTGTCTAGCTGCTATCTTTAATTCATTCATCATTTTATAATCCTCCTCTATCTTTTGATCCGGTGGGCGATAACAAACTCCCAGTGTTAAGTTTCCTTTTGGCCCCCCTATTTCAACCCACAGAACTTCAAGAAGCGAATCCAATTCTCTTAGCCTCTCGATCTTTCTGGACTTTATACCCTCTCTGCCATACAGAGCCACCCTACCTCCGAACCTTCCCCCCCTATCCTTCCGATATAATATATAACCGGGAATCACTGTGTCCCACTGATTTTCCTCATCCCACCAAGTTTCTGAAATACCCACAATGTCTATTTTTCCCTCCAACACCAAGCACTGCAAACCCCCCATTTTACCTCGGACACTCCTAGCATTTGTATAGAAACAGCTGTAATTTCCCATACAAGTTAAGCCTGCAACCTTCCTCTTGCTCTCTCGAGACCTTGTCAGGCAGTCCATGTCAGTAGCCATGGTCTCAGTGGACAATTTCAATCCACCTCCCTGTAGAAAAGCAACAGGTACCCCCTCATCTCTCTGAGATGAGCCAACCCGAACCAGAGACTTTTCATCTCCTGTTGGCTTTCCCCCAATATTCAGTTAAAAAAAAGATGGATTGACTCTATAAAAGGAGCCATGGCCCTCAGTCTGCAAGACCTGAGCAAGGCTGTTAACGGCAGGACATTTTGGAGGACATTAATTCATAAGGTTGCCATAAGTTAGAACTGACTTTTGACAGCATTTAACACACACATAACATGGTATACTTTCTGTCCACCTGTTGGTTAGACAACACAGGTGTCAGAACCCACAGCCAACAACGTAGTACACGCTTATCAGGAAAGGTAATACTTTATTGAAGAGCTATAGATGCATTAACATAGGCACTGTTAAGAATGGCGGCTGCCCCTGGGGCATAATAGTATATAGGGTATTCGTAGGCACCCCCCCACTGCCCTGGCCAATTAGCCACACTCCTGCGCACGGGAGAAGGCACTCCGGCCGTTTTGCGCTGAAGCTGGGAACCAACTCGCTCCCATGGTTCCCTTAGAACTAGACATCAACATCCCACCACCTGCAGAACTTAGAGATAAGTGTTACAGCAGCTAAAAAGCACAGAAGGAATGCAAAGGCAATTAGAATACAACTGACACCCCCCCCCCAACCTCCATGGCAGCTTAGCTGACAACAGGCAATTTCTATAATAGTAGTCCCATCCCATTTGCCTGGAGTAATAAACATCTAATGGGATCAGCTTCAAAGCTAACTTTGCTATTTGATAGTTCCAGCTATGCAAGTGACACAGTTTTCCCAGAAGTTACAAAGCTTCCAAAATATATTTTTGTACAAAATATATTTTTGTACAAAATATATTTTTGTACAGAGACACACGGGAGAAGGGACAGTAATCACCAATCTGGGAAAATGCTTTTCATCAGGGTTCAGACCCAGTTGTGAATGTATGGCTACTGATTCTTAGTCTATTAATTTTTTAAAATTTTCACAGTAAAGCATCCTCAACAAAAAGTCCAAATTGAGGTTAGAATTATTTTTGTTGTTCAGTTTCTGTTCTAAATTGCTGTATTTTTATGTTTTTATCTCTCTTTTGTGACCAAAACAATTTTATTTGTTTTAAAAATTACATTGCACACTGTCAATTAAAAGTGAGATGGTTAACAAATTTCCATTAGTGAAACATCATAAAAACCACCACAACAAATCCTAACAACACAAATTTAAATATCCTTTTAAAGCATAAATTATCTACACTGATGTAATTCTGCATGTTCAACATAATCCCCTGGCCCTGACCTGGATGGCCCAGGCAAGCCAATCTCATTAGATCTCAGAAGCTAATCAGGGCCAGCCCTGGTTAATACTTGGATGGGAGCCCACCAAGGAAGTTTAGAGGTTGCTTTGCAATGGCAAACCACCTCTGTTCATCTCTCCCCTTGAAACTCCTATGGGCTGCAATGAATCAGCTGCGACTTGATGGCACTTTCCACCACCAAACACTTAAGTAACATTATTGATCTGAAGAGGAGTGGAAATTGAGTGACAATGGAAAGGCTCCGGACATCTAGCGTAGTGGTATTTGACCTGCACACATAACACACCCTCCTAAACTCTCTCTTCAAAGATGAGCCCTAGTCATAAAAAGTGTTTGTAGCAAATCACCTCTGTATTGAATCCTATAGCAGGGGATTTTAGTAAGAATACTCACAACCCTACATGAAAGAGGATAGTCAAACACCCTCAAGAACAAGTTCCTGACAGAGCCAGATTTGAGTCCATTAGCACCTTAGAGGCCAACAAGATGTTGGGGGTATAAATGTTCAAGAGTGAAAGTTCCCTTTGTCAGATCTGTGGCATTCAAAATCTTATACTCCAAAACTCATCTTGGTCTCTAAGGTGCTACTGTATTTGAATCTAACTCTTCTACTGCAGACCAACACAGCTAACCTCCACAACTAAAGTCCTGACAATGGCCAAACTATTTAGCCCAGTCCATGCTTTCCTGGAATAGCTCTTCTGTCCTTTCCTTTTTCAAAGCATTACCAAACATTGGCCATACTTTATTTTAAATGTTTGACTGTCTCTCTTTGACTCTGTTTTCAGATTGAAAATACAGCTTTGATGGAGGTTCCCAACCTGGATTAGCCAATAATATGTAGCACTTGATCAGAGGGATTAACACTCTACTCCTAAAAACTCTTTTCTAGGAGTAAGCCCTGTTTAATAGACCTGAGTGGGATTGTGAGTAGACGTACATAAAATGGTACTGCGATGACGCTGTGCATGAGGAAAAGAATTTACATCATAAACTGGACTTCTGGTTTATGGTGATGCGCAATCTGCACACCAGCATGTAGGAGGGGGCGTGACGGGTTGCGACACCCTCCCGGAGCCTTGGTGATAGGCTCCTAGCCAGGGGGCTTTTGAGGGGCGACCTCTTCACCGGTGCGATGCCGGAGAATTGAGGTGCTCCTCCACCCCAACGGTCCTGCCGCTGAGTGTCCGCATGGACTTAGTGCTGCTGACCGGGACAAGCGTGGGAGATCAAGTGAAAGAAACAATTGCCGAGCGAGGCTGGATGGCTGACAACGAACAATGAGTCGGGTGGAAGCGAGCATGAGAAGTTAAAAAGAAAGCTCCCCCCCCTTACGAAGCGGTAAAAAGTGAGCAGGGGAGGGGCCACTCCCAAGTGCACAAACGAAATATGGAATAAAGAGGGGGGGGAGTGGAAGAGCAAGCATTTAAATCTGTTTTAAGAGACTTACCAGAGCACAGCTAAGTGTAAGGGTGAATTTCAGAGACTTTGGCAACTTTTAAAGAAAGTAAACAATACAAAAGGTGGTGGGGAAGAAACCAGATAAAGACAAACTTGTGAAAGCGAAACTAGTGGGCAGTCTCTAACGGAAGAGACCACTGAGCTTTCCAAAATGCTGGCAGTTTCCTTGCGCCCTCTGCTGGACGAGATGACTAATATTAAACAACAATTGTCAACAATAGGTCAGAGCTTGGCCTCACAGCAGATACAATTGACTAAATCCTTAAAAGCAATGGAGTAAATGGCTGAGAAGGTGAAGGAAATGGACGCTGATACTTAAAAAATTAAGAAAAAGGTACAAAAGCTGGAAATGAAACAGGCAACGGGAGAAACACAACTTTTACAGTTACAAATGGAAAAAGCAAATCTGGTCCTACGGTTTCAAGGTGTCCTGGAATCGAAAGGAGAGAAACTGAAACAATAGCCCCAATGACAGATTGGAAAGCGGAATATCTTCACAGCAAGATGGATGTCGTCTACAGGTCCTATTCCTCATATACTAAAAAGAATAATCTGCCAGGGGAAATAATAGTAAGATTCTCAAAGAGACATGTGAGAGACACTATCTTGAAAGTAACTACGGGAACACCCTTGAAAATCGGGGACAAAAACATCAGGATTTTAAAAGACAATCCATTTGATATAAGACAGAAGAGAAAGAAATACAAAGAATTAATCCTTTTTCTACAAACAAATAGCATCGGATACAGATGGTTTATTCCAGAAGGCATCATTTTCAAACTCCACGATAAAAAAGAAAAGATTGACTCTGTTCTTAAAGCATGGGACTTTTTGAGAACACAGCTGGGGGAACCAGCTGAGGACAAGAAGGAAGAAGAAGAAAGCAAATTTGATGGCGAATTGGACTCGGTGTCTTCTGACGAGGACTCTCCCTCCGAAAAGTGGGTGGCTGCCCCCAAAACTTCATATAAATTGAGGATTAGAAAAGATAAAACAAAATAAAGGCTGAAGGACTCTGAATTGTGCCTGAAAATTTTATAAAAATTGTGGGATGCTCTGGGGGTTTCATTAAACAGATATAATGATGAAAAAGTTACACAACTTAGCATAACTGACCATGCTCAATGTATTATTAGCATGTTAGATTAACATTGATACAAAACTTTTTCTTAAAAAAAATTGATACAAGCGGTTGTATTGATCTCTTATTCTTGGGTTTTTAGTTATTAGTGGGTATCTTTTCTTTTTCCTTAGATGCAGTTCCCCTTTCCCTTTTTTCAGTTATAGTTTGTAGTGTTGAAAAAATAAAAAACTCCCCCTAGGGGGATTATAAAAAAACAAACCACTAGGAACTGGATGGACAGTGAAGTAAAATAGATATCAACTGTTTTCATAGAGCCATTAGGATCAGACAGTAAGCATACCATGGCATATACAGGTGTTAACAGAACAAATAGTTCCAACTGCCTCAAACCATCCAACACTACAGGGCTATGGAGTTCTAGTCAAGATGGTACCCCAAGCACATCTGTTTCCCTCACCTACTTCCTTCCGTCTTTTGTACTCATTGATGTTAGCATTGACCTCTGCCATAGCCTTTGTTGCAGCTGAAAGGGCTTCATAAGCGCTGTCACTGTCCAGAGTGTTTTCCAATATTTTCTGCAGAAGTAGAGGGTATTTTGTGACTCGTTGTACTGGCATCACCAAGAAGAAGCTCAGGTCTGAAGCACCAGTGTGAGGCCTGAACATGAAATGCATAAAGATATAAACACTTTTTTAAACTCTATTATTTATTAATTTTTATAATGTTTACAACTCCACAACCATACAATATAACTTAATAACTTAACTTTAAACAAATAGCAAATAATTAATCATAATCGTACAAAACCATATAAATCTCTGGAGATAGAACATCAGTCATAATATAACAATTCTTGTACGTGTATATAGCACATTTAAAACTAATACAATGTAAACTTATTATATTTAATAGGAAGAACATTAAATCGACTCCCTTCAGTTTCTATATATTGAAAAAAGGAAACCTATTTTTCCAAAAAATGTGTATTCTTTTTAACACAATCATCCGCAATCAACAGTTGCATAGCAATTTTATCATTAACTACTATATCCCAAATTTTATCAAACCAAAGTCTCAATGTCGGGATTTTAACAGATTTCCAGAGTTGGGCAAGTTAGGTTTTTGCAGAGCCACTATTTCTGTTTTCTGATTAGTCATAAATGAATCACTCCAACAATTTAATAAAAGAGACTCCGGAGAGTTTGGAATCCTTATACCAGTTATTTTTTCTATGATTGGCAACACCATTTTCCAGAATACTTTCACCTTTGGGCATACCAACCAGCAAAGTATGTATGATCCAATATCATTAGAACATTTCGAATATTGAGGTAAAACAGTCTATTGGTAAAACAATAGAATTATAGTAAAGTCTTTGAGGTGTAAGATACCACCTGGAAAAAACTTTATAATTTTGGAGTTTGATATTTAAGGATCTTGTGGTATATACAGGTAAAGACCATATTTTTAACCATTTATCTTCTGTAAACTGTGTTTGACAATCAGATTGCCAAGCAGTTTGCTGTGTTGTAGCAGAGGACCATTGTTTTTGATGAAGCAAAAAATATATAAGTTTCATAGTTCCCTTTTCTCCATATCTACCCTGTTTTATCAATATTTCAAAGCCAGTCTATCTAATCCAGTTTTTAAGTTATTTGCTGTGGACATAAAATGGAGTTGTTGATATTGAAACCATGGTATAACCATCTGATATTTTAACTCCAACTGTTCCTTAGATCAAAGTTTTCCTTGATGTGTAATATCGCTTAGCCTAAAAAGTCCTTTCTCTCCCCAATTTGTATATGTATCAATTTTCCTTCCAGGTACAAACCAGCTTTGTCCCAAAAAAGCTGAAACAGGAGAAATATCTGGGGCCAATATATACCGGTACTTGTCTCATATATCCAAAGTAAACTTAAAAGAAATGGGTTAACTGCAACATTAGTACCTCTATCTTTTGGTTTAGTCCAAATAGCTTCATGAAGAAGTAGTGGCTGACAAAATTCCTTTTCAAGCGTAACCCATGCTTTTGAAACATCTGAAGTTGCATAATATAGTATGTTTTTAAGTTAGGCTCCTAAAAAATAAGACCGTAGGTCTGGTAGAGCCAGTCCTCCTAATTTAGTTGGGCGTGATAACCAAGAATAACTAATGCGTCTTAATTTTTTCCCCCATTAAAAATTTGTCCATAGTTCTCTCCATCTTTGAAATTCTTTTATTGGAATTGATATAGGTAAATTTTGGAAAAAAATAAAAATTCGGGGGAAAGTATTGTTTTTAAAAGTTCAATCTTCTCTAGCAAAGATAAATTAAATTTAGTCCATTTCTCAATGGAATCCTTTACTGACTTATATAATGTATCATAATTACGTTTATAAAGATCATTGAGGTTTATCGGTATTATAATTCCTAAGTGTTTCCATTCTTTAGTTACCCATTTAAAAGAGTATTGGCTTGCAATAACTGATTTATCTTCTTCTGTAATATAAACTGGGTATAACTCTGTTGTCTTTAAGTTAATGGTAAAGCCTGAGATTAAATGAAAAGAATTAAGTTTATTCATTAAAAAACTTAAGGTTGTTTTAGGATCATTTTAAAAAATAACAGTATCATCTGCAAAAAGCCCCAATTGAAAATTGTCTGATTTTGTAGCTATGCCCTTTATTTCTACATCTTGCCTAATAGCCCATGCTAATGGTTCTAAAGAGAGCGCCAAAAGTACAGGGGAAAGTGGACATCCTTGTCGTGTCCCCCTTATAAAAACTTTTAAGGGATCAAGAGCTTCCTGACTTTTCCATAACTGAAGGACACATTGGCTAGATTTCTGAAACAAGGCTGTATTTTGTTTTCTGTCTTAGAAGGCTGCAAGAAAACTGGTGTCTGACACAAAACTGTTGCAGGCTTAATAGTCTCATACTGAGGAAGCCAATGAGTGAGAGGGCAGGGGGGAAATCCCTAGAAGTGATGACACATTGCTGACATGACTCTGAAATGATGCTCTAGGATTCGGACAAAACGCAATGGTTTTACCATAGAATTTTGTCTGAGTCCTAGAGCATTACTGTCGTGCCGTCCCTGCTCCTCCAGTGAAGTGCCTCCAGTAGCCGTGGCGTCGGGGGACCTGGCTGGGTTCCAGGGGAGGCGGTGGTGGCAGTCGTTGGCGGAATCAAAAGGGGAGGGAGTTGAGGGGCCTCAGACCGACAGGGGACAGGGTTAAACTTCTTCGCCCAGAGAGTCCCTCTGTCCACACGGGGAGAACGTCCATTGGGCTTCCCTCTCTCTGTTTCCATCCTCTCTCTCTCTCTGCTCCTCCAGTTCTCCTCCATCTGTCTCCTCCCCGGCCCCTCTTGTCCCCCCCTTCTATCCTTTTGCCCCACTCCCGGGACCGCCCCTCCACTCCCTGACCCAGACCACGCCCCTCTTCATAACCGGAGACGCCGGGCGGGCGTTTCTGTGGAAGTTGTGCTGTCGCCGGCGGCGGCTCTGCCAGCCTTGGGGCCGCGCCGCAACCGCCGGCGCCCTCTTCTTGGGTCGGACACCCGCTCCTGGTTCTTTAGGCTCCCTGCTGCTGCTCCGCTCCTCCTTCTGCCAGCTGCTCCAGGGTCTCCGCGCTTGCTCCCGTGCTCGTCCGGCTTGGAACGCCGCCGGGGGATCCGTACCCTCCTTCTCCCAAGTGGGATCTTTGTGCGCCGGTTCCCATGGTGAAGTGAGTTGTGAGGGCTTCGCCGGTTCTGTGGGGGGCTCCGAGGGGTGGTCTTTCTGGCCTGCGACCACCGGAGCAGGACAAACACTGATGTTATGTCACTTCCAGGGATTTGCTGGAAGTGATGTCACACTGTTAATGTGATGATGCTTTTTTATATCACCCACCCCTGCCAAGTGGCAGTGGGCAATGGGGAAGGAAGCCATCTAGCCTCCCTGTTTCTATGTGCCTCAAGTTCTTAATGTAACAGAGATAATAGAAAATGGCATCAAACCTGAATTTTGAACCTGGATTTAGGGAATCTGCCATTTGCAAGTTCATTTGTGACCCAAGACCATCTGAGATCTGCACCATACCCAAAGTGGATCCAATTATTTTTATTTTATTTATTTAATAATATTTTAAAATATAATCTATAATAACAGAAGAATGTGTGTCTCAGTGGCAGGAGTAACTTATCTGAAAATAAAGCTGGCTGTTTCAAAACTGGCCACTAGTTTCAGGATGAAAATGGGAGTTACAGTGCCAATAATGGAAGGACATTAGAACATCCTGGCCCAGATTTTTTCCAGGATATCTCTGTGCTATTTGTAATGGAAGTGATGGTTTACTCACCAGTAGCCAGGAAGGTGGAGACAGGATGGGTAAAGAATACCCTCTCCATTTCTTTGTCACTTTGTATTTCCTTAATCAACAGTTGTCTTGGCAGCCATTGAAACCTTTTGAGCTGTCTGTGCTTTCTTTGTAAAGGTAACGAAACAGAACTGCCTAAAGCGTACACATTTTCCTAAAGATGCATTTTGAAAGCCAAAAAGGTGCTGGGCACCATTACTGTCACAATAAACAGTCTCAAATAAAATCAACAATGCCTGACAAGGCAATCATGACTGACACTTACTTCAAAGGACCAGAATGCCAGTGTGGGCTAGGAGGGGTCTGGAGGACACTTTTCCGCCCTTTGCCCAACAGCCGGCAAAGGTGGGAGCCTCAGGCAACCATGCTGGCCATCTCCACGTCGTCTAAGGGGTCAGCCCAGTCAAGAGCAGAAAGTTTTGGTGGTGCTGTACAGCCCACCCAGTTCTATTTAAATTGCATTGCCTGGAGGCTCCAGCAGCATCATTTCCCTCAGATCGCTTGATTTTCCAGGATCAACCCCCATGCTTTGCCAATGCCCCTTGGTCTGTAATCAATAAATACTGTGGCCTGTTGTTTTATTCCAAAATGTTGTTGTTATGTGTTTTGTGTTCCTCTGAAATACCTCTTTTACTAAGCCCTGGGCCTGCAAACAGCACCAACTGCAACAAATCTGCTTCAGCTTAACTAGCTGACAGGAACACCTGTATAATAAAAGTACCCTGTGTCCCCAATTTACAAGCAAGGCTGCAGGCAGGAACAACAGCCACTGAAGCTCCCAAGGTAATCTTTTTCAAAATAACCAGTACCTACCTGAACTACAATATCTGTCAACGGCCACGCCAATACATAACGAGATCAGCAACCTGCATCTCCACTAAAGCTGAGAAGCCTGAGCTGAGAGCAGTCAACAAGGCCCACAAATTTCCTTCAGATAATGCACAGGTTTTAAAACAAACTACGTGTATATTAAATTTTGAGAGGGCCCATTCTCTCCTGCAAGGAAGATATCCTTCTATTGTTAATAACAAAACACTTAACAATTGTTCCAAGCCAACAAACCCTCAGAACTGCAGTAGGGTTGCCATCCCCCTGATGGAGGTGGGGGTTCTCCTGATTTTGGTGCCCCCAATCCACTGCCAGCCAACTGGCCGGTGGGGGGAGCCCTGCCCCCAAGGAGCCCTGACATGCCTGACGTGCCTGGCATAATGATGTCACCCAGAGGTGATGTCATCACGCCGAGCACATCACGCAGGGACACTCTAGCATTTGGCTAAAAACTCTATGGTGACCATAGAGTTTTTAGCCAAATGCTAAAGCA